AAACTCCGTCTAAAAAAAAAAAAAAAAAAAAAAAAATTTCTTTTATAATTAATTTTCTCCTTGTAATTTTACCAAATTGCATACATATATAAATGCATATATCTATACTTATATGTCAAAAAAAGTCACGCCTTTTCAGTGAATTATTTTTTTTCTCATTACAATGACCCTCTTTAGAACTAAAAATGTTTTCAATTTTGGTGTGCACATTTTCCCTATCATCAACATGTTTCTATTTGCTTTTCTCTGAACATCTGCCTAGTGTATCTTTTCCATGCTTTACTTTCTCTCAGTCTATTTTGATGTATTTTAGGCAATACTCTTAAAAAGATCACTTAAATGAAAAAATTAAAAATAAGACCTGATCACCTCTTTCATTTAAGTTGTAAGTTCTGGCAATTTATATTGTGGGAATTATTCCTATATTTGGTTTTAATTCTACCATCTTATTTTATGCTTTCTGTTTATTGTTTATTACTTCTTTTTTGTCTCTTATTGATCTTTTTATTCTTCAACTAATATAAAAAGTCTATTTGTAATCTTTTAGGGGTTCCCTTAAATTTTCCTTTAATATTTTTAAAAAGGTTTTCCATGACAAAATACCTAGCTTATGTATATTAACAAAGCAAACATTCTTCCGAAGACTTAAACAACTGTATATATTATATATCTTTTATTTTTAATTCATAACTGACATGGTTAAAACCTCTACTTATACTGAAATCTTATCTGAGTAGAGACACTACAGGAGACTTAGTTATAGATATACATAAAGAATTAAAACTTTCAGTTTCCTCATTTCAATTATAGTGTTCTATTAACAGATTCTGGTGTTTTAATGAGTGTCTCATGTATTCCTAGAGATTTTGAAATATTTCTTATGAAGAAATCAAACATCCTATCTTATTATGCATATACATAAAAACAATGCAATGCAACATACACCAAAATTTCCAACACTTGGTGTGGATCACTACAACATGTAAATTAGGATGCAAAAGTCTATATTGTTTGTCATTCATACCACAGGTCATTCAGAGATCACAAGGGGAATATTGGTTGAGATGGTAGTGGTCCCGATGGAATTTTAATGCATAAGCAAGTATTAAAGTTAAATTCTATTAGGTTTAGAAAAACATGATATCCCTTTATACCAGTTTCTCTAATAGGTATTCCAATAGATTAAACAAAACCAGAGCCACTATGCAGATATGATTAAACACTAAGAGTGGATAGTCCTCAAAGGCAATGTAATCATTCAGGGATAGCCTAACAGGAACAGGTTAAGTGGCACATCGAGCTATCCCTGATTATACCAATTATGAATCCCAAAGATATTCAGGAATTTAGGAAATACCCACATTATTAAGAAAGATAGATTCTTTTATTGTAGTGTAGATAATATCACAAAGAATAAGTGGTTATGTGGGTCTTTGAGGTGAGGGCAGAAAAGGGTAGTTAAAATATTAGTGCTATATACACTCAATCTTCTCTATTAATTTCAAATGATCACTATTTCTTCATAACAAATAGAGAAGTATATCCCTATCACTAGAAAAAATTTTAGTGAAGGACATACAACAAAATTTAAAATACCTAAAGAAATATTTAATTTGATCCTACCTCTATCTAATAATTGTTGAAGCTATTAATTAGCAAGAAATTTAAGAACACCTTCAACCCTGAAATTCCTGACTGACAACCAGCCTTAAATCCTTCCTTTTCTTCGGTATCTTATGTCTTATGTGAAAGGATCGCTTTTAGTAAGTTATGTTTCCTAACAAGAGACATAATACATTATACATAGCCTTAAAATTTAAAACTGTTATGGATAATAATTGTCATCTGCTAACACAACAGTCTTTAATGGATGTTATTTTCAATGACTTGGTATTAAAATACTCATCTCTCTGATGATTAGTGAGGTTGAGCATTTTATCATATACCTGTTAGACATTTCTATGTCTTCTTTTGAGAAATGTCTACTTAGATCTTTTGCCCATTTTGGTTTTTTACTATTGAGTTGTTTCAGTTCCTTATATATTCTTATTATTAATCCCTCATCAGTGGAATAGTTTGCAAACATTTTTTCGAGTTCTGTAAGCTGTATCTTCACTTTGTTGTTTCCTTTGCCATCCAGAAGCTTTTTAGCTTATTGTGATCCCATTTGTTCATTTTGGCTTTGGTCGCCTGTGCTTTTGAGGTCTTACTCAAGAAGCCTTTGTCCAGACCAATGTTATGAAGCATTTCACTATTGTTTTCTTTTAGCAGTTTTATAACTTCAGGTCTTACATTTAAGTCTTTAATACATTTTGATTTCATTTATGTATATGGTGAAAGGTAGAGGTCTAGTGCAAAGCAAAACCACAATGAGATATCATGTCACTCCAATTAAATAGATTTTATCAAACAGACAAAAAAATAACAAATGGTGGCAAGGATGGTGACAAAAAGGAGTGCTTGTAAACTGGTGGTCGGAGGGTAAATTAGTACAGCCATTATAGAAAATAGTAAGGAAGTTCCTCAAAAAGCTAAAAATGTGCTGAGCATGGTGGCTCGCACCTATAATCCAAGCCCTCTGGGAGGCTGAGGCAGGATTGCTTGAGCCCAGGAGATAGAGACTAGCCTGGGCAACATAGTGGAACCTCAATTCTGCAAAAAAATTAAAAATTAACCAGACATAGTTGTGCATACCTCTAGTCTCAGCGACTTGGGAAGCTGAGGTGGGAGAATCACTTGAGCCCGGGAGGTCAAGGCTGCAGTGAACCATGATCACGCATGCCACTGCACTCCAGCCTGGGCCACAGAACGAGACCCTGTCTCAAAAAACTAAAAATACAACTACCATGTGATCCAGCAATCCCACTCCTGGGCATCTATCTGAAAGAAGGAAATAGGTATATCAAAGAGGTATTTGCACTTTCTTGTTTATTGCAGCACTATTCACAATAGCCAAGATATGGAATCAACCTAAGTGTCCATCAGCAGAAGAAACAGATAAAGAAAATATGGTACATATACACAGTGGAGTACTATTGAGCCATAGAAAGAATCAAATCCTGTCATTTGCAACAACCTAGATAAAAATGGAGGACATTATCTTAACTGAAATAAGTCAGGCACAGAAAGACAAATATTTCATGTTCTCACTCCTATGCGGGAGCTAAAAAACACACACACAAAAAAAATGGAGGTACAGAGCAGAATGATAGTTTCCAGAGGCTGGCAAGGGCAGTGATAAGGGGGTAATAAAGAGAAGATGGTTAACGTGTACAAACATAAAATTAGACACTGGGGGCAGTGTCTCATGTCTGTAATCCCAGTGTTTGGGGAAGCTGAGGCAGGTGGATGACCTGAGGTCAGGAGTTTGAGACCAGCCTGGTAAATATGGTGAAACCCGGTTTCTACCAGAAATACAAAAAGTAGCCAGGTGTAGTGGCGTGCACCTGTATTCCCAGCTACTCAGGAGGCTGAGACAGAAGAATTGCTTGAACCCGGGAGGTGGAGGTTGCAGTGAGCTGAGATCCCGCCACTGCACTCCAGCCTGGGTGACAGAGGAAGACTCTATCACAAAATAAATTAAAATAAATAAATAAATAGAATAAAATAAAGGAATAAATATTCTTAGAAGGAATAAGATCTAGTGCTCAGTATATAGCATAACAGAGTGACTATAGTTAACAGTAATGTATTATATATTTAAAAATAACTAAAGGAGTAGATTTTTAATGTTCCCAACACAAAAAAATGACAAATGTTTCAGGTGATGCATTTCCCAAATACCCTGATTTGATCATTACCCATTATATATCAAAATATCACATGTACCCTACAAATATGTACCACTATTATGTCTATATAAAAGCAAATGCAATACTCATTTCCACCAAGAGTATCTAAACTTTAATTTTAATCAGTCATATTTATATGAAGATTAAGAAACATACTTTAGGGTAACAATGATAAAAAATCTTATTAAAAATATAACAAAATCCTTTTCTTTTTTGTGATGAGTATGATTACACAAAGTATCACGTAAGTTAGTGCTGGAATCCCCAAATAATATTAATTAATCATTTGTTTTCAAGTAAACTTGAAACTTTTACCTTTATCTTGATGACTGCTAGTTGTCCCTAGGAATTGTAAGTCAGAATCCACACTGCCAGTTTTACCACATGTTTGTGAAAACCCAAGTTGTGCACATTTCCCAGAAAGATTTGTTTGATGAGTCCCCGTAGTATCTTTTGAAAAAAGGAGGGGAGAAAGCATCAAAGCAAAAGTTAACTTTATTTCCTGAACACATCTTATTTCATGAATGTTGGTGTAATTTGGGTGGAAATAGAAGTGTATAAGTGCAATGAGCTAGGCAAGCAAGAAAGGGATAAAGGTTTTGACATTAGCAAATTGGATTAGTGGCAGCAGTTAAAGGACAGAAGACAGACTAGCAAAGGATAGAAGACAGACTAGCAAAGAACAGGAAAAAGAGAGGTGTGTTGAAGAATATCCGCAAAGGCAGTTTCTTCCTATACTCTCCTTTCTCTCACCATGGAATGTTTCTCCAGACCTGGGCTTTCCAGTATTTGCAGTATATGTACTACCCAAAAAGCCCTATCACCAAACTCTTTTCTCTTTTCTTTTACTTTTTTTGTGCAGTGGTGGGATCTCGTCTCACTGCAATCACTGCAACCTCTTTTATTTTCTTCCCTAAAATGCTATACAGTATTCATGTAGATTCTAAGCTTATCCAGGCATGTTTCCTGTTTCCCCATCTGTGTCTGACTGAACTTATTCCTGGGAAGGTGAATAAGTCTAAAGAAAAAAAGGTGATAATGACTCCTCTGGCATTCAGTTTATTCCTCTATTAAATCAGCCCATCCTTTGTAGTTCCGAAATTGTATAATTTAAAAAAACATTCTCTCCCTGTCATATCAAGCCTCTTTACCTTTCATGTCCTGGATGTCTTTTGTTTTCTTTTAAGACAGGGTCTCACTCTTGTCACCAAGGCTGGACCTTGTCACTGCAGCCTCGAACTCCCTGGGCTCAGGTGATCCTCCTGCCTCAGCTAACCAAGGCTGGTCTCAAACTCCTGATCTCAGATGATCTGCCTGCCTCGGCCCCACAAAGTGTTAGGATTACAGGCGTGAGCCACAGCACCCAGCCCCTCCCTTCTTTAAAGTCAAGCTCAACCTTTTACTGAAGTTTTCTGAAACTACGTCAATACTTATGTCTTCCTCTCTTGAATTCTTATAATATTTGTAATTCATATCGTCCCATCAAGCATTAGGTTATAAAGCATCTTATTCTCCAGGTGTTTAAAATCTGTACAACTAGGAAATGAGCTTCTCAATGGTACAGATAAATAAAAATCAAAATTAAAAATGCTGTAAACATAACTGGATATATTCTTGTATTTCTCCTTCTCTATTAAGCAATAAAATAAACTATGCAGTCATTATAACATTTCATTTTTGTAGGAAAATACTACAGAATTTCACTGCATAAAGGTCCATAAATTCTCCTAGAGAACAATGTTTACTGAATAATATATCTGAACTCATGGCCAAAAAATTTTGAAAACTGTTATCATTTAGATGTTAAATAAATTTTTAAATCTGTAACATAGTCAAATCTTTACCTTCTAAATCATTTTCCCTTCTAATGGGTATCACTTTGTCAGTACACTACAATTTTTCTAATTACGTGGGTCCTATATCTTGAAATCCTAAATGATTATTTAGAACTCAAGTTCAACCTCTTTTTATTTATTATTTTTTTTGAGACAGAGTCTCACTCTTGTAGCCCAGGCTGGAGTATAGTGGCTTGATCTCAGCTTACAACAACCTCCACTTCCCAGGTTCAAGCAATTCTCCTGCCTCAGCCCCTTGAGTAGCTGGGATTAGAGGTGTGCGCCACCATGCCTGGCTAATTTTTTAAAAAATTTTTANGTAGAGACAGGGTTTCACCATGTTGGTCAGGCTGGTCTCGAACTCCTGACCTCAGGTGATCCACCCACCTCAGCCTCCTAAAGTGCTAGGATTACAGGCATGAGCCACAGTACCCGGCCTCAACCTCTTTCTAAATGATCTGGTCATTTAGTATATTGAATATCCACAAAGGCAGTTTCTTCCTACACTCTCCTTTTTCTTCTAAAAGATACGGTCAATGACATTGACCATTTCCTCTGAAGTGCCAAAATATTTACTTTCTATAATACTTAGTCAATTAAACATGTTCTCAGTTGCTCTGGCCAAAAATCCTTACAGCATTTTTCACACTTCTTTCTCACTCTATACCCAATCTACCAGCAAATTATATCAACTTTACCTTTGACATATAATCAGAATCTAATAAATTCTTACCACATTCTTGCTATCCTGGTTAAAGCCTCCATCAACTCTAGCCATGATGACTACAACAGATTCATCAGTCTTCCTGTTTTGACCTTGCTCTCTGATATAATTTGGCTCTGTGCCCCCACCTGAATCTCATGTTGAATTGGTAATCCCCAATGTTGGAGGTAGATGGGGCCTGGTGGGAAGTGACTAGATCATGGGAGCAGATTTCCCCTTTTGGAGTTGTTCTCATGATAGAGTTCTCACAAGATCTGGTTGTTTAAAAGTGTGTAGCACCTCCCCCTTCACTCTCTTCCTCTTGCTCCCACCATGTAAGACATGTTTCTTTCCACTTCACCTTATTTCATGACTAAATTTCTTGAGGCTTCCCCAGAAGCAGAAGCCTGTACAGCCCATAGCACCATGAGCCAATTGAACCTCTTTTCTTTTTAAATTATCCAGTCTCAGGTATGTCTTTATAGCAGTGTGAGAACAGGCTAATACACTCTCCTTTCATCTATTTTAATAATAAAATCCAAAATGAGCCTGGCAACAAGTGATGTCAATGCTTTCTTCAAAATGCTCCTCATTCAGAGTAAAAGGTGAAGTTCACTTATAAGTCCACTAGTCCTTAAATAAAGATCCCATTAGTCTTTAATTTTCTACTTATTTTCCCCTTTCTCAATTCATTCCAGACATACTAGTTTCTTTGATATGTCTCAAACATGTTCCACACACTTCTCTCTTACTCTGTACTGTTTCCTCTTCCTGAAATTATTTATTCTTTACTCCTGATACATAGAGTGGTTTCCTTTAAATATTCTTTCCTGAATATGGCCTTCTTTCTGCTTTGTTTTCCTTCATAGCATTTATCATCAGCTAACTTACTATGTCTTGTATCTATGTAATGTCTACTGTCATTCCCAAGCAGAATGCAAGCTCTATTAGGCAGACCCCCAGTACTTAGAAAAGCACCTGACACATAGAAGATACTCAATAAATATGGATGATGTATTAAGCAAACATTGCCCTACATTAATACTTAAACAATTTCAATGAGAAACTCTCCAGGGTTTTATGAGATAATAATGTGTAAGTGTCCATTCTTATCAGATCTTCAATAAATAACTTATTGAATCTGAATTGCCTACTAGACTAAAATTTCTATGAGTCCTTGAATGCACTATGAAGTTGAGAGAAGTCTCTAACTTAGTTCAGCATGTCCGTCATCAACAACTTGTACTTACCAGCAGCACAGACAGGAAGAGAATCTGGGTTAAAATCACGACTATTCTGAAATAAGTTTCTTGATACTCTTTTTCTGCTGAAACATAAATCATCATCGACTGGCATTCCTTGAGAGGGCTTTAATTTTGGAGATGGGATGAAATCGTATGTTGAGAACTATAAGAACAGAATCATAAATTAGCAAATTTGTGTTAACTCTACCTGGTAATAAATATAACAAAATAACTAGATACAATTATGAAATTCAGATTAGAATAAATTTTACTTTATTAAATATAAAATTATACAGATAAACCATCCATATTTAGTATGGTACACCAACACTACTTTTCATTCCAGAACAGAAATGCTAATTTTTTTTCTTACTACTTCAACCCAACCCTTTACTGTTCCTTACCATCCTACAGTATACATCTGGCAACAAGGAAGGAGAGAATACAAATGACAAATAGGATGAAATGACAACCAGAATGATCTGACTGAGCAGCATACCCCCTCAAACTATGCTATTTTTGTTTGAGTACTAGACAATAAGTGCTAATTGGAGGTCACCAAACAAGCAAGCATTCTACTATACTGTTCTTACTGAGTCAAACTTATTAGCCATATCTGTAGTCCAAATGTCAATGTAAATGACCTGGCAACCTATGTCAAGTTCCCTTAGGAGATTTTCTTACACTAGGTCTCTTAGTTAAAACCAGTAAATAATACTTTTTATATGTTGAGTACTTCATGGTTTCCAAGTCCTTTCTCATAAACCCCATATGATCATTAAGGAACAAAGGTGCCAGAATACAATTTTAAAGTTACACACAATCAGTTAAAGAACTACATGACAGCATGATTCTTCTTCACCAATGATGACCTCAATTGTCCTGGATCACCTGACATTCAACATGGCTATAAAACATTTAAAAAACTGAATGCATTGACAGGACATTATACTTCCTATGTATTTATTTGGAGCTTACAGACAGACTCAAATCTACACGTGGTGAACTGTAAACCTTGTCAGTATATTTCTTTGTAAACTTTTCCAAGTATCGAATAGCATAATAAAATTAAAGATATGTCTATTATGCCTCAGGTACACGTTATTCATCATCAAATTTTGTGAAAAACCCATTACCTCCTTCAAAAATTAACCCAGAAATGATAAGTAACAAAATTAAGAATGCCCAGATGAGGACCTGTAATCTCGGCACTTTGGAAGATGGAGGCAGGTAGATCACTTGGGCCCAGGAATTCGAGATCAGCCTTGGCAACATAGCGAAATCCCGTCTCTACAAAAATTAGTCAGGCATGGTGGCATGTGCCTGTGGTTCCAACTAATCGACTAATCGGGAGGCTGAGGTAGGAGGATTACTTGAGCCTAGAAGGTAGAGACTGCAGTGAGCTGAGACTGTGCCACTGCACTCCAGTCTGAGTGACTCATTGAGACCCTGTCTCAAAAAAAAGAATGCCCTCAGCTGGGTGTGGTGACTCATGCCTATAATCCCAGCACTTTGAGAGGCCAAGGTGGGTGGAACACTTGAGGTCAAGGGTTCAAGACCAGCCTGGCTAACACAGTGAAAACCCGTCTGTAATAAAAATACAAAAATCAGCCAAGCATGGTAGTGCACACCTGTAGTCCCAGCTACTCAGGAGGCTGAGGCAGCAGAATTGCTAGAATCCAGGAGAAGGGGTTTGCAGTGAGCAAAGATCATGCCACTGCACTCCAAGCTGGGCAACACAGTGAGACTCTGTCTCAAAAAACAAGAAAAAAAGGAAGAAGAATTCCCAGATAAAAAAGGATTGATTTTATTTTCTCAAAACCCAGTTAACTTCCATGATTGATTATACAGTAGTCAGTATTGAAAGGATATAATGGAATAAAAACGAAACCAATTATAGTCAAATTCTGATTAGATATATTAAAAAGACAACGTATTAACACAGCTAAAATAGTGAGTAATCCAGAAATAATTCTTCAGTAAGGGATACATTTTATGTTAGATTTACTTTGTGATTAATTTCTGTTTAGCAAACAGATATTGGTATATAGGCCAGATACATACAACAACTGGTGGGGGCGGTAATGTTGATGAGGGTGGTGATGTATTTGTATGCATGTGTATGTGAATGCGGCATTTTCAGAAATCTTGAGAAGTCAGGCAGAGATTAAGTTTTGCTATAGCAGATTGTGCATCTGAAGGCAGACTATAGGACATACCAATTTTATTAACGTGAAAGACCCGTTTAGGTCTCTCTTAAAAGCAAATGATTTTCATTAGGGTAAGTTTTGATGGGGCAAAACAACGAATGAATAAAAAGTTTTCAGAGTAAAAGAAAACAGAATTCATAAATCTTGAAAGAGTTGTGAGTTAATGTTACAAAATGTGAAGTAGTCTATTTAAAGCACCTGATGACTCTCAGGAACACGGAACTGAATTTTCAGTCTATGCAGTTAACACCCAAACATTTATTTAATTCCTTAGAGTTACAGTAAATGAAAAAAATATAAAAAAGCAAGTTTCACACTTAATAATGGTTTGAAATTTTTATAGTGTTGTTTACTGTTTCAATCTTTTGTTGTTGTTGTTGTTCTGTTTTATTTTTTAAAATAGGGTCTCACTCTGTCACTAAGGCTGGAATGCAGTAGCATGATCACAGCTCACTGCAGCTCCGATCTTCCCCAGCTCAGGTGATTTTCCCACCTCAGCCTCCCAAGTAGCTAGGACTACAGGCACATGCCACCATGCTCAGCTAATATTTTGCATTTTTTGTAGAGACTGGTTTTTGCCATGTTGCCCAGGCTGATCTCAAACTGTTGGGCTCAAGTGATCTGCCCATCTTGGCCTCCCAAAGTGCTGAGATTACAGGTGTGAGCCATTACATACAGCCTACTACCTCTTAACCTTTGCATTTGAATCCCTGCATATTTTTCATAAAAAGACTACAAAAATTTACTCTTGTTGTTTAATCCTTTGACCTAATGTATCTTATTTTAGCTTTTGGCAGGGAATATTAAAGCATCTCAAAAATAGTTTTAATTCTATTTTGGTAGCAAATTACCAGAACACCTTTTAATATCTCATTCTCTCAGAAATCACCTATACTCCTGGCTTTACTGAACTTGTACTAAACTTTATCTTGACCTCCAATTTTTGCACTGTTCACCTTTTACCAGTTCTTTCTGGCATTAAACAAGTTTATTCCCATTAACCACAGTCACCTTCTGTAAAGATCATTGTATTTATCTTTCAAATTATTTTCCTATGTACACTTTAGAAAAAATAATCATGCCTGTAATCCCAGCACTTTGGGAGGCCGAGGCAGGCAGATCATAAGGTCAGGAGATTGAGACCATCCTGACCAATATGGTGAAATCCCGTCTCGACTATAATACAAAAAATTAGCCGGGCATGGTGGCGTGTGCCTGTAGCTCCAGCTACTCTAGAGGCTGAGACAGGGGAATTGCTTGAATCCAGGAGGTGGAGGTTGCAGTGAGTTGACATCGTGCCACTGTACTCTAGCCTGGTTAGAGAGCAAGATTCGGAAAAA